CCTCCTCTTCATCCACCTGCAGCAGCACCTGTCCTCCTCCAGACACTACACACTGTGTGGGTCGCTGATTAGTTTGGATGGATTGTTTTAGATTTTTCTGAGCTGATTCTTTCTGAATGTAAACTTGATAAAACTATTTTTAATTGTTGGTTTGAATAAAATCTGTTTGAGACAAACAGTCGCTCGTGTCTGACGGAGGAGAGGAAATAAAAAGCTTCACTAGGATGAAGAGCTGCAGCTTTTTATTGGGGCTGATTAAAGTCTGAGCTGAGTCAGCAGTAGAACAGCTGTTAATGAAGGAGGCTTTGGTTTCTAATCAGTTCCCTCTGCCCGATAACAGACCTGATCATTAGGTAGGAGGTTATCATTACAGCAGACTGAACAGAGACACACAGAAATTCTTCCAATTACAAATGTAAAAAAAGGTTTAAAGCTGGAAATATTATGGTCAAACTTTCCTTTAAAACAATTCAAATATTAAACATTTCAGCTGTGAATAAATAGAATTTGTTAGATTAATGGTCAAATTTAAATACATGAAGAGGTGCAAGATGAAGTGTACGGTGTTGGTTTTTCCGTTTAGTCCTTTCATGCCTGAATTATGAAAGTCACAGTCAAGTCTGTGTTTTTATTACTCTTTAGTTATGAAAAGGAAAAACTGAACTTCATTTATTAACATGCATTTTTTCAAGTTAGTGGACAAAAGATGAATCATAATTTCATCCCAAGATAAAATCAATACCTGGAAACTTTAACAGTATGTTTCTTTATCTCTTACTTAATGTTTCCATATTATTTTTACCTCCACGGATCTTAACCTGTAGAGGGATTGTGAGGAATTCCTAAGCCACTCAGCCTTCCTGGCTTTGTCGGCCATCTTGGTTTTGAAAAATTGTTGCACTTCACAGTGGCTGACCAGTAGGTGGCAGAGTGTGGGATAACACACTAGTGTCCACATAGTCAGAACCCACGCACATACAGGAAAACAGCTTTTAAATATCCTTTGCTGTTGTGACCACTGTGCATGAACGGGCTAGCTGATCTTCTCTGGATGTCTCTGTTTCCCGGTTGACACATGGCATGGATCAGTAACCGGTCTGTACAGCGTGTCCCCGTCCTCTGTGCTCAACAGCTAGGATGTGGGACGTGAGACAGAAACAGAAACCGTGGCTGTGTCGTACATGTCATTATTTGCTATGGTAATGTCCAGTGTTTTCTCCCTGACATCAGCACAACCTCTACTCTGCAGTGATGTCACTGAGTAAGATGTAAGAAATCAGGCGTTACATATAGAAAGTCCTCATTTGTAACCAGCCAACAGCATCTTGCACAGAAACAGGCCCAGA